ATCTCGACTAAAGCATAATTGAATCATGAAAACATGCATAAATTGAATATGAACTCAAGATTATCAAGTCAGAGTACTCATACAATCATCCAATCAAACAAACATAGCTAAGGTTCCTCAAAACCTAAGTGAAGGGAAGTTACTCCATAGAGAAGAAAGAGACTGCAGTAAGAATCTTCAGATGATCAGTCTTCAAATCCGGGCTTGTTCCTCGAGCTTCCAAAGCGAAGCAATCCTCCAATTCCACTCTTAGAATGCCCTCAGATCGCCCTCTCTCTCTCTTTGGTTCGTCCCTTGGGTGTTTGGGGTCCAAAACCCAGCTCTCCCCTTTCCTTTGGCTGAAAATCGGGTTTTAACCAGCAATTCCCGACTCACACGGGCAGGCCGCACGGCCGTGTGGCTCACCCAGTTGCCCGTGCGAGTCAAAACGCAGCGTATCACTTAGTTGAATTCCAGGCTTCTTACACGCCCAGGGTCGCACGGCCGTGCAGCTCACCTTGCACGGCCGTATGGATTTTCTGCTCTGCCCGTGTTTGCTCTCGCACAATCCCACACGGCCAAACTGGTCACTTGCACGGCCGTGTGGGTTGTGGGTGTGCCCGTGCGACTTCCTTTGTGACTTGCCTCGCGCCCGATCTTCGCCCAATCGACCCCGAACTCGCTCCTAAACCTTCATTCACTTGCCAGGACTTGAAATATCACAAACAAGCACAACCTAGCGTGAAATCGGTCTAAAACACGAGAAACCACATCTCAAACGGTGTAAGAACAGGGGTGAAAACATGTGTAACTAACGGTCTATCAAACTCCCCCACACTTAACCGTTTGCTTGTCCCCAAGCAAACCTAACTCAAACCAATGCAACTCTCCAGACCTCTATAGCAACAAACACCCCAGATCGTAGGTAGAGGACTTCCTAGATCATTTAGCAGCGTACGAGGTCAACCGACGCACAAGTCATCTCATAGCTTCTTCGGCGAGAGCACTAGTATCGAGTCGGCGTCATGGCAAATAGTGAACAGAGGACAAATGAATTGTGGATGAAGAGATTCTCAAAAACAAAGGATCATGGACTCACATTATTCAAGGTGCTCTATTTTCTTTGAAGATGGTTGGAACCCCTTTTCTTTCTGTTTTGCTTGTTTTCTGTTATTTTTTCTTTACTTTTTTTTCAAGGGTCCCAACCTGCTCTTACCGGCCATGCCAGGAGCGGATGTCTCGAGCCTCGTGCGGGGGAAAGACATGTAAGGGGGCTGGAGGTAGTAGGTGGAAATTGGGAACGGATTCCCGTCTCCCCTTACACACTTTCGCCCTATTCGCACGGGAGACGTTATTTTGAAGCACATTTTCGAGCACCTGTTAAACTCAAAACATGAAACAAGAGTCCATGACAGGTAGAGAATCCACAACACCACACAATTCAAGGGTCCTAAGATCACTAATTCACTCAATCAACCAACACAATATGAAGAAGAAATGAGACTTCTTAAATGCATCAACATCCTCCATAGTGCTACACTACCTCCCTAGGTTGCATATTACTATAAAGACTGTCAATTCAAAGCATACTGAGCAGGAAATTGCAAGGAACACGTACTTGGAGCCCTCAAATTTAAAAATTTGGACAGTGGACTAGGCTCCAAGCACACAAACAGCCAAACATTCACCTGCATACATAATCGAACATCCCCCCACACTTAAGCACAACATTGTCCTCAATGGAGGAAAGATAAGGAGGGTAGAACGAAGTTACCAGATCAAGGGTGAATGATGATGAACGGGTCAGGCGGTGCATTCCAGGAAGAGAGAGTAACCAGAACACAAACACCACACAAAATCTCACAAAGGTTGAGTTATTGACTCTAAAATCAAATAGCAAAACTGACTCAACCGAGGAGAAATAGAGAAAGAAATGCAAACCGACTGGTTGGGTTGCCTCCCAACAAGCGCTTCTTTCACGTCGTGAGCCGGACGATGGCTCCTAAGTTTCGGTCCATGCTAGAACCTCCTTGAAGTTGAGGTTCTCATCGATGAGGTGGAGTCTCAAGTCACGAGCATGTGGTGTGGCAGGTGATAAAGGCTCATGTACTTGATGCAGATGAAGTCTCCACCCTCGAGACCTCTTATTCTCTTCTCTCGTCTCATTGCCCCAAACCAGATATGACAGCATCGATTGGCCACCATCGCGTCCACCAAGAGGGACCGATGTTGATGTGACCTTGGTCTGGCAAAGAGACACTGCAAATGGGTCCTTGCTAAGCAGTTCCTCGAAGTTTGGTGGAGATATCACATGTAACTCATAGCCGGTGCAAGCCTCTTCCACCTCAACTTCGTCCTCAGCCTGGACGCCAATTGCTTCTTCAACCTCCCTTCCTTCTTCATGTGGTATCACCCCTGGGAAATGATCAAGAACTCCTCCAGCTTCACTTTCGTCATCCTCCACAACTTCTTTCTGCACCCTTTCTTGCTCTTCTTCTTCTAGCACAGATTGGAGAGCAAGTTGCCAAGCAATTTCTTTCATGAGATCTTCTTGCATCTCCTCACTCATGCCCGCCTCTTCAAAGCTCAGTTTGGGGTGTGGGAAGGTGTGGTCGGCTACGACATGACACTCCTGATCATGATCATCACGGGAGCTCTCCGTGACAACTTCAGTGTGCTCCACAATGTCCTTTTAGCCTTCTTCGTCCTCCTCCTCTTCTTGTATGGTAGCAGAAGGGTGATCTGGAGCAGGTTGCGCCCAAGATCGCTCAAGATCATCGACGCTCTTCTTAAGGCTCAGGAGGATCTCCTTTGTTTCACGATAGGCCTGGACACAATGATCCATCCTGGAGCATGATCTCTCCATGAGAAGCCTCAATTCATAGTGTGGATCTGGCTGTGGAGTGTAGCATGGCTCTGCATAATGGCCCGTGAAGGCCGCCATGGGTAACTCCAGCTCCAATGGCCCTTCTGGTTGTGGGAGAAATTCTTCTTGGTAATGAAGTTGTTCTTGATATGCCCAGGGGTCCGGTTGTTCTCCGTAGTAAGGGGGTTGGTACTGGATCCCGAATCCATAGTCTTCTCCTCCTTGATTGCTCCAGGGAGTCTCGGGGTAATACCACTCGGGTGGTGGTGGATACCCCCAATTGTTGGAGAAGCCATGAGGATCCATGATTCAGATCTGCACCAACAAAAACAAAAACACCCAAGTGAAAAGCAAGGGTGGAAAAGAAAAGAAAAGAAAAACGCTAAAATAACAAACTTCTGCCTTTCCTAATACTCTAGAAAGCCCCCGGCAACGGCGCCAAAAACTTGACTCGCTATGACACAACACCTAACAATGGCCAAGTGTAACCAATGGAAGGGACTGCAGTATAGTGGCTCAAGTGATAAATATCGAATCCACGGGTCTCTAGAGTTACTATTACTCAGCTTCAGTTTATTATTTAGCAAATCAGATTAAGATGAAAGAACTAAAACTACTCTAGCAAACTACAGTTAAAGTTAATCTAATTACAGGTTGGGAACTCACTTAGGTATGATTCCCCCTAGCCACTAGCCAGACTAACGATTGATGATTTCTAACTTGTTTCACTTTCATTCACAATGCGGAGAATCCTTGACTAGACCTTGAGTCTCGACTAAAGGAACAAGGCCCTCTTGAGTCAATTGCCTAGAGGGACGTATCCTTCTCTAGAACAACTGATGAAGGCGTTCTGAACTAGACTCCCTCTATCGAAAGAGGTTCTCAATCGATACAAAGAAGTGAATCAACCCTCGACTAAAGCAATCGATCCATTACTATCAATCTATGGTGCTCTATTGACCTAATCAGGTATTCCCTCTCATAGGATCAAAGCAGAATCAATAATCTCGACTAAAGCATAATTGAATCATGAAAACATGCATAAATTGAATATGAACTCAAGATTATCAAGTCAGAGTACTCATACAATCATCCAATCAAACAAACATAGCTAGGGTTCCTCAAAACCTAAGTGAAGGGAAGTTACTCCATAGAGAAGAAAGAGACTGCAGTAAGAATCTTCAGATGATCAGTCTTCAAGTCCGGGCTTGTTCCTCGAGCTTCCAAAGCGAAGAAATCCTCCAATTTCACTCTTAGAATGCCCTCAGATCGCCCTCTCTCTCTCTTTGGTTTGTCCCTTGGGTGTTTGGGATCCAAAACCCAGCTCTCCCCTTTCCTTTGGCTGAAAATCGGGTTTTAACCAGCAATTCCCGACTCACACGGGCAGGCCGCACGGCCGTGTGGCTCACCTAGTTGCCCGTGCGAGTCAAAACGCAGCGTATCACTTAGTTGAATTCCAGGCTTCTTACACGGCCAGGATCGCACGGCCGTGCAGCTCACCTTGCACGGCCGTGTGGATTTTCTGCTCTGCCCGTGTTTGCTCTCGCACAATCCCACACGGCCAAACTGGTCACTTGCACGGCCGTGTGGGTTGTGGGTGTGCCCGTGCGACTTCCTTTGTGACTTGCCTCGCGCCCGATCTTCGCCCAATCGACCCCGAACTCGCTCCTAAACCTTCATTCACTTGCCAGGACCTGAAATATCACAAACAAGCACAACCTAGCGTGAAATCGGTCGAAAACACGAGAAACCACATCTCAAACGGTGTAAGAACAGGGGTGAAAACATGTGTAACTAACGGTCTATCATACTTCCTGTAGAACATAACCGACAGCCCGTCCGGACCTGGAGCTTTGCGTTTGCCCATCTGTTTTAAAGCTCTAACCACTTCATCTCTCTCGACCGGTCTTAAAAGCAAATGATTATCCTCCCCCGATATCGTTGGTTTCACCGCGTCCAGCACCGGGGTGTGACTAGGGGTGCCACCTGCCACAAACAACTCCGAATAGTAATTGCGCATACACTGGAGGGCACGGTCTGTACCAAAAAACTACTCACCATTATCACCTTTGAGTTTACGAATCATGTTCCTTCTACGCCGGGCTGAAGCTTTCCTGTGTAAAAAGTTTGTATTCCGATCTCCGCCTTTCAACCAATTTGCCCGTGATCTTTATTTCCAGTACAACTCCTCATTGTCCTCAACCTCTGCCATCTCACTCTCTAACTGCCGAATTTGGCCAAGCACCCCTTCTGTTTTTGGCCGCCTCTCCACTGCACGGATCGCCCTTCGGATCCTTCTTTTCTGTTCAGAGAAACCGGGGAAGGTTCTCCTACTCCACTCTTCCAATTCAGTCCGACAAGCTTCAATCTTTCCACGGATATCCATCGAGACCTGCGGCTGCCAAGCTCATTTCACCACATCCGCACAACCCTCATGGTTTGCCCATAGTGGTTCAAACCGGAAAGACCACCCCCAACTAGGTTCCTCGTCTTCCTCTCCGCGCGTGTCACAGATGATGGGGCGATGATCTGATCTCGATCGGTCGAGATGTGTCACTCGAAAGTTCACATTTCCATCTCTCCGACCCCACAAACCTATCCAACCTTTCTTCGATGTGGGCCCCCTCACCTCGTCGATTCTCCCACGTGAACTTGTAGCCTCTAAAGCCGAGGTCATGAAGATCCACATCAATAAGGCTTTCCGCAAATTTAATCATATTATTCCCCTGATCCAACCGGCCACCACTCTTCTCACTCTCTGATAGGATTTGGTTAAAATCACCCCCACACAGCCAGGGCACTTTCGGTTGGTTACCCAGATATCAAATGAGTTCCCAAGTCTTGTGTTTAGTCGAGCTCTCCGACCAGCCATAAATACCTGTAAACCTCCATGGATCCCTTCCTTCCTCCTCCACTCTCACATCAATATAATTGTCACCATAGCGGGACTAACTTCACTTCCTCCTTCCACCACAAACATAGTCCCCCGGCCCTTCCATTACGAGACACATCAGTAGGGAAACTTCGTCCCCCGGCAAAATCAAGTTCCTTCTGCAACAATTCATTCTCATTACAAGTCTGCTTCGTCTCCATTAAGAAGACGATTTGCGGGGAGACATGTCGCAACACCGACTTTAATGCTTTAACTTCCCGCTTGCTCCCCAACCCGCGACAGTTATAGCTGAGGATTCTCATCTATGATCCAAAGGGGATTGGTTCCCCGCACCTTTTATTTGAGCTTTTTTACTCGATTGCACACCCTGAGGTTTCGTCGGTGGCTTCTTGCTCTTACCTTGCTACCCCCCGGCATTGCTGCTTATATCACCAACTGACATCATGTTTGTATTCCTGAACTGGACTGGGTGTTGTTCTCCCCCTTTGGGAACCTCCTCGCTAAATTCACACTCTTTCCCATTGTTCTCCAATGTCGGATCACCCCGCAGTCCTCTAGCGGTCTTTTTCTCATTCATTTGTTTTTCATTACTCCCCTGAGGGTTCCCTAGCTCATGAATTACTTCCTCTCGCTTTGTCATCCTCGCTCTCGCAGCACTACCCTCACCTTCCTCAGTATGCACAACTTTCACCTCGGGTAATGGCTCCCTAGGATCCTCGGCCTCCATTATGTTGCCTTCCGGCTCTTTCATAATGATCTCCTTGTCCACCTCCTCAGTCGACTCCTCTTCCAAATTTTCCAAGTTTTGAAATCTAGATCGATCATGCGGATGATCCACACCCTCCTTCTCTCTTCCATCAATCATTCTCGGGCCTGTATTAGGTGTTACCATTGGTTGACGCTGACCTCCATTACCCTTCTTATTCTTTGGTCGAGCCACCATCCATTTCCTGTACACAGCCTCCTCCATTTCTCCCCTTCCCTCCGAGATCCCCTCATCCTGTCTTTCCAACGGCTGAACCACGTTCAGTTTCGGGCAATTCTTCTTTACATGGCCATAGTGACCACATTCACTACAAATCAAGTGTAGTCCCTCAAACTCTATATAGTATTTCTTTCTTTCAATTTTGTACTTGGACGGGAGAGGTTTTGTTAAATCAACTTCAACACACACCCTCGCAAATCTGCCCCTAGCACTAGTCTGAGTAATACGATCCACTTTCACCGGTCGTCCAATACGTTCAGCTATCTTTTCCACAACCTCCTTATTAATGAACTCAATAGGAAGATCAGGGAGGCGCGCCCACACCATTGTAGTAGCCACTTTCGCGAACTTAGGATCAAAGTTCTTCACCCACCTCCTCACTGTCAAATAGTGATCGCCAACCATCAAAGGGCTGCCAGCCGCTGCCTGTTCATAATCAAACTGGGAGGTGAACCGCACAACATAGAAACCCCATGAGAGGCTGGATATTTGCAAGGTACCACATTTAGCCCATAGGCTCTCTAATCGTCTCGAAATAACTGGGAACAGGAAGGTACGGCCAAGCACTTTCACAATCAGGGCCGACCTCCGTTGACGCCTCCACCTTTGCTTCTCCATTGAACGGAACGGAATGGTGGGACAAGTGGGATCAGCATCGTCTGGCACTTCGTCGTCTTGATCATCCTCCTTCATGGCATTGGCTACATCTTCTGAATCCGATTCCGCGATGTAATACTCCTCATGCATACGTAAATCATCAAAAAGTTTCTTTGACCCATTACTCCATGCAGACTGGGCGGGCTCTTCAATAATCTCCGCTGCCGTCTCCTCCTCCGCCATAGTAGCTGTTGCCGGCTCCATATTCTGATTAACATCTCTTGTTTTCAAATAACGGGTTGGCGCACATTGGCCTGGCTCTCTTTTTATCTTGCACAGTTTCTCTATCGCCCTTGCCCTCAGGTGAGGACGACGTGAGAGGGGGTCGACGAGCATTAGAGAGGGGATCCGACGCTCAGGGGGGAGGGGGGGTGAGTCCCCGACCCAGGGCCTGTCATCGGCGACGTACTTCTAGGGTTCGTAGGGAAATCGCCGCTCCGAAGAAATCTCTAGGGTTTACTTATCCCCGAAGGAACGTTCTGAGAATCTTGAAAGTTACGTATAAAATACTCAGCCAATTTACGTATAAATAAAATGAAATGATTAAAATGTTATAATATGCATTCATTTGACAAAACAAACTCTTAGCGTAGAGGAAGGCGGGCTGTTTTGCTCTTACTAGGTCCTTGGTTCGATTCTCATGCAAAGCAAGTATTTTTTGCCAGCTATTCCCTACCGATTCTTTTAAATACTCCCAGGGATTCAATTCTCATGCAAAGCAAGTATTTTTTGCCAGCTATTCCCTACCGATTCTTTTAAATACTCCCAGGGAAGCAATACTTTTAGCAGCTTTAAGCATATGTATATACAACAACAATTTCTTTTAAATACTCGTGTAAGACCTATCTCAACATATGTGCAATACAATATCGAAATGTATTGTTAATTACTATTTTTAATTTATATTGAACTCAATGCTTAAAAAGTTAGTTTACAAAGTGATGTTAATCGTTTCAATGAATAATTTGTGATGTTATAATAATATAAAATTAATTTTTAATTTTTTTAAGTCATTTTGAGATAACATACAAAAATATTCCCCCCCCCCCATCATCGATTCTTGGCTCCGCCCCTGACTAAAAGTGGAGGAAATCAAAATAGATGTTGTCATCTCGTCACTCATTATTCATATACCAATATATATAGCTAGATATTGTAACTTCAATCCTATTCAAATTTTTCTGCAACTAAAGTGAAAATAAGAAGGATATTTTTGTATTCACAATGATCTATTTGTTTCTCATTTATTCCTTAAAAAAAGAAACACATACTAGGATTCAAACCATGGTCATGTTCAACAATCACAAGAATCTTAACCAATCAAACTACATATACTAGTTGTACCATTAAAAAAACATACATGGATAACATTAAAAAATTACAAAACTTTTCACTAGTTTGCTAAGGTCACTAAATCTTCGCTCGGTACTTATTGGTGTTTTGATACTTCGATTTTCACATGATATGTAATTTATATTTCTATTTATCTTTTAATTTTCTATCTATCTTATAAATTTCTAAGGTCACTAAAGTGTTATTTATCATTGGTTCAATATTACATATCGAATTTGTAGAAGCGATGTTGAACTCTTACATTACTATTACTTTATAGAACTACTATGAGACAATCATATTCATATCTTTCTGCAAACTATATGAGGAAGGGTTCTTTGGACATTTTAGCTTGACTAACCGTTAGTTTTAAACATCTTCCTAATCTGACAGGCATGATTGGATCCAACAATCATTAGACGATGTTGAGTTTAATAGGTTGGTTTATTTCCTCTTTTGATGTAGGGTTAATACCTTAGTTTGGCCCGAACTATACACATACTTTCTACTTTGGCTCGTGGTATTGGAAAATGCTATTCTGGCCTGAACTATGTAGCAAACTTCCTCATTTGGCCTGGAGGTGGGTTTGACCGTCTAATTTGACAATCAAACCTGCCTCCAGGCCAAATGAGGAAGTTTGCTACATAGTTCAGGTCAGAATAGCAATTTTCAATACCACGGGCCAAAGTAGAAAGTATGTGTATAGTTCAGGCCAAACTAAGGTATTAACCCTTTTATGTATTAAAATGAATTTGCAGAGCAAGGACATGTCTACATATACACTCTACACAATATATACGACTGGCATGATAAAATTGTCGTCCCATTTCAAATTTCCTACAACGAGAGCAAAAGTATGAATGACATTTTTATCTTCGCCATTATTTATCTTTATTTTGTATAGAAAATAGAGAAGGATAGGGATTTGAGCTAATGTATCTTCAAACGCATACAAGAGTCATAACCGTGATTGTCAATTAGAGTATGACTCTGCCGGTCAAACTAATTCTACTTAAACATGAGTATCTTAGCGGGTGCCGAAGGCCCAGTTGGTTGTCTACCTACTCGAGCTCAATCAAAGTCGAGTTTTTCTATTTCAGCAGGAAATCAGACCGATTTATCCAACTGATTCGAGCACCGGGCCACTTCAAAATGATGTTGTTTTCAACAATTTGCATATGTAGCTATGTTGTCATATCATCCTTTTACTTATCACAGAACCCCAAAATATGAAGCATCACAGACCAGGTTCGTCTATCCCATCGTCTCTTCTTGTTGCTTTAGATTCGAGAGTCTGCAATACAAAACCCAACCATCTCAAAAGCCAACATATTCCCGCAATAGTAAATTTATTTTTTCTCCAGCTGGAAAGTCATAGAGTCAGTCGACCTCATCTCATACAAATAAGAAGCAACAATTATTAGAGAAACATGCATTTGAGTTAAAACTTTGTGTGACTAACAGAGGCCCAATTCCTTATTTTAATTATTGTTTAATATTTAATTAAATTCCTATATATCTTATAAATATAGGATAACTTTAAAATCGCGTCCCAAATATCACTGGTTAGAATATTCCATATCGAATTGAAGAATTGAATATGTAAAAGTGATGTATAATTTTAAAATTAATATTAACTTTTTAGACCTACTATGACACAATCGTATTCATATCTTTGTGTAAACTATATGGGATTGGTTCTTTGAACATTTTAGTTCGGATAACCGTCAAATTTTAAACCTGTTCCTATTTTGAAATTATTAGATCCAACAATCATTAGGAGTTTAATAATTTGGTTCATTTCACCTTTTTTTAATGTGCTAATGAATTTGTAGAGAAAGAACATGCCTTTATATACACTCTACACAATATATAATACTAGAATGAGAAAATTGTTGTTTCATTTCAAATTTCATATAACAAGAGTGAAAATAGAAATGATATTTTTGCTTCACAATTATTTTACAGCAACTACAAACTTCCAAAACCCAGAAATTGTAGCTCAAACTAAAAAAATCAAAGCATCAAAAAATCAAAGTTCGCAAATTTTATTTCATATATCACTTATTTGAGAGATTTTTCTCTCTATAAACAAAGTAAAATGAAACAAGTTATAGCCAAATCAACAGCTTTGGCTCGAAGACGATGACCCGCTTCTTCGTGGGAGAAAGGAATACATGCGGTGTCATCAGAGATCTGGAGAGCAAAGACGAAAATGATACACTGCGAGTTCGTGAATGGGGGCTGTGAAATAGATCATCAATTCACGGGCTTGGGGCCAAATAAAAGGATAGGAGGTTAGTTACATGGGTGATGATAGAATTTGGCAATTTGGTACATCTACAGGAGATCTCCAGCGTCGGCTTAGGAAACAAAGAATCGAAGGGGAAGAATAAGATATAGACTCTTTTATTAACAACTAATTGAGTGCATAGGGGGTGGATAAACGATGCATTCGGTTCTCTTTTCCTTTTAAAAAATAAAACAAAATTTTCATAAAAAACAAAAACCAGTATCGTTAATTTTGTGGGTTTCTATTCAACTTTTAAAGTATGTTCCTTTTTCGGGGCCTAATCAGATTATTTAAAACTATTATCCTACTAAAATGATTTTTTTTTATTTTCCCGCTGCATTGTTGTAATATTTTTGACTAATAAAATGTTAGTAAGTGATTCAACGAAAAAAAATGTTAGTAAGTTAGATGATATATTAATTAATATAATATTCACGCTTTTTTGGCGCACTCAAATTATAATTCTCGAAGAATATACGCTCTTGCGCTCCCGTTCTAGCTCCCACTCCGCGAATTGGTAAGCTAAATCCGTCGAGTAAATTCTGTAGACAAAGTGACTACTAGAAGAATTCGACTTCTATCACATATTGCCTTCCCTCGCAAGCACCCCCAAGCTCAATTCCCACTTGGCCGTTCCTCATTAATTTCACATCTGACACACACTTGCGCCATAGGAGTGCAACCTTCATCGCGTGATGAATACATGTTGTTGGAGTGCTTTTTACGAGCTCGAAGGATGACAGCGGAAAGTAGCAGATAGAGAAACAAATGTAGATATATAGTCCGGGCAAGGAAGAATATTATCCATATATATATGAGATTTTATATAATTTATAAATATATGAACAATATAATGACTTTTTCATATATCCGGGCAAAAGCGGACTAAAATGAATGAACAATTAACCCTCAACCCACTTAATTGACCGGGCAAACGGGCTAAACCGGGTTGACAACCTTTGATACTTTAAAATCCATATATTCTGGAAAAAATTGGTGTTCCAATTTTATGTTTGAGTCAAATCGATCAATAATTGTGGACTTTCAGAGAGTATTGAAATTCAAAAGTCGGTCTTCAAGGTTCTTTCATGACAGACAAGTTTTTGCGTTTAATTATTGTTGGGTCGAACGAAGAGAAAGCGGAACAGATGGAGAATGGGACCGTGGCTATTAATTATTGGGAGCTGCAGATGGAGAATATAAACCATAAAAAGGGGCTAAATTTAATTTCATAATGCTTATATAGTTTATATATTACAAGGGCATGTTTGATTTGAAAATTAATAGAGGGATAGATTTGATACAAATAAATAATAGAGTGACAACTTATGCTATTAACTTTCACATAAAAAGTCAAATAGTATATTGGTAGAGTAGAATTTAAACTTTTATAATGTTTGGATTTTCTTAAATTTTGTACGTGCATTAGTATCTAACACTTAACAGCTCTCACTTATTATTCAAACAAGTTTATACAATAAGTATTATTTTTTCGTGTTCTTCCATATTTGAGATTTTAAGACATAATCTTTTCGTTGTTCTCTTGATGTTTTTATATACCTTCACTTCCTACCAATTCTAGATGACATATATTTCCTTCCAACTCAAATTCATGTCGATATTAAAAAGTCCACAAATTTCTTCTAAGATATGGGGGATAAAAATACAAAACAGTAAACTAGGATGACTTGATAAAAAATACATATTAACTAATTATCACTAATGTCGTAATCAACAAATATCATAAAGATTACTATAAAATAATGAATTAGCTATTTTATAAAATCTCAAATTATTTTACAACATGATAAAATTTATCAACATAAAATAAAATTCATCCGACCAACGGGTCAGTTAAATATTTTAAATATAATTATAAATTAACCAATGTAAAAGGTAAAGCAAAACTCATTCAGCCAAGGGCCGAGTAAAAGCTAGTATTATGTAATGGAGACCCTTGACATCATTCCCTTGACGTCCGGCTATGTATAGGTATCGAGGTGAGCGGTCCGTACCAACTACTCGGGAGGATAAAGTGAGCTTCAGGTCTGGACGGAGTAGGAGAGGACACTCGACCGAAGCTTGTTGGTGAATGTCCTGGTGGACCTATGGATCCTAGCCTCATTAGGAGCTTCCACATCCACACTAGCTATGCTCTTTGGACTAACATTCGAGACCGAGGGGCCATTACTTGCTTCAGCCGTACAGGAGCGGTTGAGTATCTGCAGAACTCTCATTTTAGGCATGATAAGGTGGATGAGTGGGTTCAGCAGACAGGTCTCCAACACCTGATAAACTGCATGTTTCTCAAGATAGCGATTGATGATGCTTTGATTTCAGCTTTTGTGGAGATGTGACAGCCAGACACGAACACCTTCCACTTGCCTTTCGGAGAGATGACGATACTCCTTCATGACGTTGAGTACCTACTACAGATTCCTGTCGAGGGATAGCTGATGAGCAGGAGTCGAGAGTAGTTAGACCATGCGGAGGTGGGCTTGTGTAATCTTCTTGGGATGAGCTTCGAACAGCTACAGGGTAGGTCGGAGACCCCGGGTTATGGTACGAGAGGTAAGTAGTACGGCAAGGGTGGTTTTCTTGCAAAGATGGCATCTAGATACTTGCAAGCGAACACGACACCTTCCACAGAGGCACAGTCGTACATGTTGCTGTTGGGGGTCCACTCTGTTTCTGGACAAGAGTGGAGACAAGGTTCGGCCGGTGGTGAACCTCTTTTTGGATCTCTTGGAGCAGGTATCTGAGTATAGTTGGGCGTCAGGGACACTTGCTTGGTTGTATAGACAGCTTGGTCAGGGCTCTCAGGCTGGTTATCTCACACTTCTACAGTGTTGAAATTGGATCTACGAGTACTTTTTGAGTCTCATGTCATCGCACTTCGAGCCAGTAGTCTGTGGATCGGATGAGCCTTGGGCTTCATGATGGATTAGGCTTCCAACACTAGGTACTGCGACTGATCCTGGTGTGAGGTTGGCGTTTACTGTCGTGCTCTTGACATCTTCACCCTTGTTGATGTGTGTTAGAGACCTTTTCATCAGCAGACTCATCGGGTAGTGCGTCGGTCTTTGTACACTGGAGTGATCCGGTTGCCGAGGTAGGCAAGTACTATGATCCAACCTGTTGCCTACGACAATTTGAATACCGACAGATGGTACCGCCTTCTCCTTCGTGGCCTCAGCGAGCAGATGGACCAACGACACATGGAGGATATGTCATTCAGATTACTGAGAGTTTCGATGCTGCATGGGATGCCCTGCTTTCCCACATGGTTCACATAGACATGTACTCCCAACCCTGGAGGATGCATCCACATGAGATGACGCCCGACTATCTTTACTGGTTCATCGCCCACTCACACCTTAGAGTCCTCACTGATGATGGATATGCAGATCTAGTTAACTCCGCAACGGTAAGATTTGCATCTTGAACGTTTCAATTTAGAGCAATATAAGTAAACTATGTGTGAAACTAACAATTGTGTTTCTTTTTGTTGTTGCAGCGTGCTCGAAACCTTTTGTGCACTTTTACACCTGCGGTTTGTGCCGCAGCGGGGATGGAGGAGGAGTGGCTGGAGCATCAGCAAGGTGTATACAGAATACTGCATGGAGTGCAAGATGTGTGGACCAAGTACTAGGTGGTCAAGGACTCCCCCCCCCCCCCCCCCCCCCCCTCCCTGATGTTTAGTATAGATCTTTTCTTGGTATTTCCTTTATTGGTCTTGTTTGACTTTAGATTATGTGATATGACAATCTTTATGAATGTTTGACTATTTATGTTTAGTAGTTTGCACATGTACCTCGAGGATATGTAGTATTTATTTTTGGATCGGATGTTTGACTTATGTTTGGCTCTTCATTCTTCAAATTTTCCACTTTTAGAGGTGCACAAGCAAAATGCTCATGCACAGGCAGATCACATGTAGTTTGCATGTGCAAGTCGGATTTTTCAGCTTTTGCATTTTCTTCCTTAGCAACTGCTTTGCCCTCCTTTTATGTTGACTACGACATAAAATACAACAAGCATATTACAGGAAGTGGCAAAATACAACAATGCACAATACAACTAGAACTGTTTGTTGTGTCGGTGATGTTCTTGATACAACACCTTTTCATGGTTGTGAAACCCTCTATTAGTTCCGGTTGCACGACTTGCCACTCCTACTATGATCCATGTGTTTGGACCATTCTCTTGCCATACTTCTTTAATACATATCTGAAACTGCCAACCATTACCCTTCGAACTTGTATTCTGACGCCTCTCCTTCGTAGGGTATGTTTGTAAGACTTCTCAATCCTATTGTTTCTATCGCAATACATACAGAGGTCAGTAACAGGATGCCCTGTTTCCATTTTCGGTTTTCATGCTAATCTGATAATAAAGAACCCACATGATTGAGCGATTGCTTTTGCAGCATCCTCAACTAACTCCAAACTTGCATAATGGATCCCCTTCTCAAAAAACTATGTGTAATCATCACCGAGAGCGAACCAATCTGCCATGTTTCCTACACTTATAATTATAGTATAACACATGTTTCCTATAATCATAATATAACACATCAATATTTCAATGAACCTAAACCCTAAATTCAACTCCTAAACACTGATTCAATTCCTAACCCTGAACTCAACTCCTAAACCCTAAACTCAACTCCTAAATGCTAAATTCAAATCCTAAACCTAAATTCAACTCCAAGCCTCTAAATTCAACTCATTACACTAAATTCAACTCCTAAACGCTAAATTCAATTCTTAACCGCTAAATTCAATGACTAAAATCTAAATTGGCGAATGTAAATGACTGGGACGAAAATTTCCAAAGGCAGGTACCGGGCCGAAATATTCTCGCGGCCGGTACCTCGCCAGGCCGAAAGAATCTGGCGGTCGGAACCAGGCGTGGTCGGCGAGTTTTTCGGCGAACGTCGATTTTTTATGATTGAATATGTTTTCTGAGAGTTGGAACTCCTCCACCTTCCACGAATATGTAACTAATTTTGCAAAAAAAATTTGTTGACACCAAATAGTAATCTGGTTGGCGGCAAATAACAAGCCCACTATTTTTTTCGTTTCAAAAAGTAAATCAAGTGTTACCTGTTTGTTTATATAACACCACGTATAGGGGGACACTGCTAAAAGTGTTGCATATCACATATGTATCACGTTTGACACTTCTTGCAACACATTTCAAGTGTTGGTAAATGTGTGACTTTTCCCAGTAGTGAAGGAGATGCTGAAGTCTTCATTCTTTAGCTTCCTAGAGGGGCAGATTCAGATGCACCTGAAAAACCAGTGCTCAAAAACCTTCCGCATACTCTAGTTGTTCCAGACTTAGGTTTAGAGTCGCGTAACTATGTCCAAAACTGCCAATCGAACTGGTCATAGTGTGGCAAGAAAGAAAAAAAACACATTTTCTAGTTGTCTTCGTTTGGTTTAAAGTTGCTCTCATCTTATTTGGTATAGAGTTGCTCTCATCTCATTTTGTTGTTTAACTGGGGAAGGAATATGTAGGGCAACCTTTTTTTTTTTTTTTTGTATTATTATATTGTCATGGCACATTTCAAGAAAGAAAAATGTACAATAATACCACAGCACTCAACACACACTAGTTGGCAGTTGCAGCCCTATATTCTCCTTATATCCCGCGACAAACTACATGAGTCCATGTCCTTCACAAATCCACGGTGGTCGACGATTCCCAAGACTTTAGCCGTCTCGTTAAGAAAAAGGTCCACCGGGAATCTTTGCTTCGCCGAACGGAACAAGATGTTAGCCTTGACAAAGCTGGTAATTAAAGCCTCCCACCCTGAGCTCTTTGTCCCTCGAATCCAACTGTAGCTTTCTCGCCCAGGTCCAGCCAGCTGTTGAGGATCGACTACGATGATGAAAGCCTATATAACCATATGCCTCGAGTGTGTAAATGTCATCTATCAGGCTGCAAATGGCAATTATCCATCAATAGCAAATTATACCCAAACCCAAGTACACACATTGATATATAATTGATACGGTATGTATAAGATATATATGGGTTTGAGGGTTTGTAGATGGATTTGGTTAAGATAGGAATATTATGGGTTGTATATGGATATTCATTTACTTAAAGGTGTTTTAACTACACATACAAAAATTGAACCTAGCTATTTGTAAAATTTGAAAACTTCATGTACCAAAATGTAAGACAAAAAAATTTAGGTGCTAAAATGTAATTTTTTGTCGATATTTTGAGGACTTATATCCAAATTCCAAAATAAATAAATTTAGGTACTAAATATGTATACCTATTATGTTTAGGTACCAAACTATAATTTGCATTTGGGCCGCATGGGTACAAATTCAACCCAAGTAAATGGGCATGGGTACAAACCCATCAAACTCTACCCATATCCATCTATTTGGATTTCATAGCCAAATCAATCGGGTTGGATAGTAAAATATCCACGGGTATGAGCAAATTTGTCATCCCTAGCTGCATTCATCAAACTCCATGCATGCAGTAGAGTGGAGCACTTCTACTATGCTATATAGCATTGGTGCTTTAATGTACAACTTAAAGTTGTACCATAACATTAAATGTATAAGTTTAGATTGTACCATAAAGCAATTTGTACTATTATGTTATGGTACAACTTTACAACTTGAAATTGTACTATCACATAAAGGTACAAGTTCAAGTTGGACCATAAGAGAATTTGTACCAAAAGTATAGGTACAATCTGAAGTTGTACCATAACGTAAATCTACAATTTTAAGTTGTACCATAAAGGAAAAAACCTATAGCACCAATACTATATAGCATTGTAAAATTTCTCACTAGAGTGTCATATTGACATGTAAAGGAAGATAGGAATTCTTTCCCCTATTATATAGCATGTTTCACGGGTTCTCTTACGCGTAAAATACAATAGACATTACGTAATGGGTACGTGAAGGTTTACAGTAAAGGACGCTCCTTTTACGTAACGAAATGTTAACTTCGTGTTATGTAGGGGTGAATAAACACACCCGAAAATCGGCCCACCCATCCAACCCGACCCAACCCACCCGTATTTATCGCTAAAACGAAGGTTTTGGGTTGGGTGAGGATTTTCTTTTGTACAACCCGCCTCTTTTGGGTTGGGTTTGGATTTTGGATTACACAACCCGTAGAACCCGACCCAATCCGTGTTCCAACTATTGGTATGAGTTCGTATCCAAAAATATATTTATGTCGTATATAGCCATACTTATGAGAAAATTAAGATATTGTGTCATGTTTTTCTCTCATGGTCTCCCTAATCTAATGCATTCTTCGACTTCAAGTTTAGACATAAATTTAATATAGCTATGATTCACATAATCCTTTTTATTGTGTACAATTTTAATAGAATAACATATTATGGATGCGTTCGTTTATAACCTTTTTAGCCTATTTCAGCAAATGTCGTGAAAAAAACTAGACATATTTTGAAGTAAATCACATTTTATTAAAATTGAAACAATATTTTGAAATTTGATATTTTTCACCTCAGTTTATTCGTTTGAAATTTTAATTAGTTATAAAATATTTTGTTGGCGTAGAATAATTATATATTTTTGTTGGGTTGGGTTTTTACGTAAAAATATCGCCAACCCAATCCAATTAGAAACAAACCGTAGGGTTTTTTTTTTTTAGTGAGTTTCGGTTTGATATTTTCCAAACCGTAGTAAATGGGTCGGGTGATTAAAATGGCTAAACTCTTACCACCCAACCCATGTACACTCCTAGACTGTTACGTAAAGTGTTAAGTCATTACTGAAGTCTTGCATAACGCTTCTGATGATTTTAGTGTCACACAAGAAATAACTATCTCGTTCCGTAACTTTTACGTAATCGATGTGCATTTTACGTAAAAAGTTGTAAAGTGTCGTTAGTCGTTACAGAAACCTTACGTGATTCTATGCGAGTTATCTAACTTGAAATATAACAAAGCAACTGTAATTTTTTTTTTTTCCTCCTTCTTTTTTTGGACTTACACATTTGGCAATCGGCATATCCGTCTCAAGAAACTTCAATTGTATGCTGGTATTCTTTTCCTCCGGCCACATATATGAATGATATCTCATATCTCCATCCCAAAGTTCCCTATATATACTTGTCACCCTCTTCATCCCTCCCTTCCAAACAGCCACAATTTCACACATAAAAAAGAAAAACAGGGGACAAGGGAGAGAAAGACAGAAAATGTGCATTGCTGTTTTTCTATGGCAAGCTCATCCGCTCTACCCTCTGCTTGTCTTGCACAACAGAGATGAGTACCACAACAGGCAAATCGATTTTCCCTACTCCTACTTCCTCTGTTCTTTCGTGTTTTAATTAAGATGTGATAAAATACGATTTGCTAAAGCGCTAACGAGGGTCGAAACCGAATCGAAATAGTCGAGCAGAGGCTCGAGTATATGCATGTCACTCCTGTTTAATTAACTGGTTGCTATGGGTTTGTACGTACATACTGTAGGCCTACAGCAGCAGTGGAGTGGTGGGGAGGGAGCTGCGAGGAAATGGAGGTTCTTGGGGGAAGAGATGGTGTGGCGGGAGGGACATGGTTGGCTTGTTCAAGAGGAGGCAGAGTGGCATTCCTCACCAATGTTTTGGAGCTTCATCCCTTCCGCAATGCCAGACCTCGTGGAGAGCTCCCTGTTCTTTTCCTCCAGGTAAAAAATTAAATTTGGTTGACGAGTTCTGTGTCAAGAGCGAGTTATACGCGATTTGTGATTATCGGGGTCGGGCCGGGTGTGAATTTTGTTAAAACTCGGTCCGCTTTTCATCTGACTCGCTCCAGATCAAAAACAAAAGAATGTCGAATTTGTATAACTTACTCTTTCCGCCTTTTGGATATTTTTGGTTTATGAGGAGAATGAGTGAGTATCTATCTGATAAATATCATGGTTAGTATTTACCCAACTAGGTAACTCCTATCATGCATAAGAATGGAAGGTTTCAGCCAAAAAAAGTCTTTACACCCTGCGTGTCTATTAACCTACCTAAACAAGGGATATGTCTTGCCATGTCTTTAGTGTTTAAGAAGACGTTAGGTGTTGGGAGCGTCGCCTAGGCATTTTTAACTTTTAAGTGAAAATAGCATTTTTAATAGAAATGACAATTTTATAACACTTTGACTTTAGTTCGATTTCAAATGATTACTAACTTTGATAACCCTAAAACAACAAGCAAAATATGGCATGATTTGCTAGAATAACGATGGTGAAGAGTAGGACAGAGGGTTGGGTCGACTAGAGCTGTAGAAGATGGGCTACATTTTTTTCTTAATCTTTTGGTTTGTGAGTGTGCTTAATTGCGTCTCACTTCGATTAATCACACCAATTAACCATGCCTTGCTTGCATAGTTGCCTCATGGGCATAATGAGCACATAATTGTTTGCCTAGAGCCTAGACGAGGCGTTTTGTCACTGTCTAGCGCTTAGGCATACACGGAATTACGCCTTCCTGAACCTTGGTGTTTAGTAATGAAACAAAAAAATATGTACAATGTGAGATCTCAGTGACTTTTGTCTTCGAGCATTGCTCGTTTGACTAGTGAAACGCAAAGCGCAAGCTGACTCGTCTCAAGTAGGGCTGCAAATGAGCCAAGCCGCTAGCGAGCAACTCGGCGTTATCGAAAAAAACTCGTTTGACACTCGACTCGTTGTTTAACAAGCCGGCTCGCGAGCCGACTCGTTAGTAAACGAGCCAAGTTTGAGCTAGACCATGCTCAGCTTGATAAGCTCGTGAGCTAGCTTGACTCGGTGGCTTGTTGAGCTAAGCTCGCGAGCTGGCTTGTTTAGAGCTTGTGGAAGGATTAATTACTCTTTTGAACATGAAAATTATCATGTTAACAAGGATGTGTATGGAAGTTAGATGTTATTATTAGTTTCTAGTGTTCTTTTTATCATTTTTAGTTTCTAATATTCTTATTTGTACACATTTTTCCAGCAAAGAATGGTTTCAAATCGAGCTCATCTTGACCCAAGCTTGTACTCAGCTTGACAAGCTGTGTTAATGAGCATTTATCGAGCTCTATCGAGCCGAGCTCGAGCTGGATAATTTTAATCGAGTCGAGCTCGAGCTGGATGATCAAAATTCGAGTTCGAGCCGAGCTAGAGTTGAAAAAATTTATAAACGAGCCGAGCTCAAGCTGAGCAAAAGCTCAACTCGACTCGCCTCGTTTGCAGCCCTAGTCTCAAGTATCTGAGTAATTGGATGAGAATGATAATATACTTGTAGATCGACGACTATTAACTAGTGTACTTGACCAAGACTTGACGGAGACTAGTCAAAATTCCTTTTCAACTTGTTGAATTAGTAGATTCTTTTTGAATCTTTCCTCAACATTACCCTAAATAATGACCTAAGATTACCATCATTTTTATATATAATACATTCTAGTTTCTACATAAATAATATTATAACAAAATCAAACTTCATTCTTCATACCATTATTTGTTCTTCTCGTCTTCTACAAAATCCTCATCTTGTTGAAACTCGATAGCTTTCTTTTATCTAAATAATGAGTTCTCTCATAATGATACTTTATATTTGGAATCTCAAATGCATTATTATATATTGTGAAGATATATTAGAGGTTTCCTAGAGCTAAATAAAATTTTCGAATTTTTACGATCATGTTAATTGAAAAAACAACTTAGCTTTGCTAACAACAGCGAAGATATACTAGAGTTATCTCGTAACAATCTATGTGAAACACACTCTTTAATATCAAATGATTAACAAAATCAAGAGTTATTGTTTGATTGTATATATTAAAATTGATGTAATATGAATTTGTAGCACAAACAAAACAAGGCCTAAAATTATCTAAAGGTGTTCTTTGTGAAAAAATTCGAACCCATTTTATATGAAATCCTGACAACGCTACTGGGAGTATTGGGACAATATTTAGAAAGTCTTATATCCTACAATAAACCTGAAGCCTATAGGATTGAAAATGAGTTTCATACTTCCAATTTACAAGATATGAATGGTCATCTATCTGGAAAATAATATACAAGCGGGTCAAATCCTGTTGCTTTGACAGAGCTCCAAGAGTCCTAAGGAGTTTGCTGAAGGACTGGTGAAGGAGGCACACCACTACAACGGCTTCAACTTGATTCTCTCGGACATTCCGTCGAACACCATGGTGTACATCTCCAACCGGCCGAAAGGAGAAGCTGTCGTCTTCCAGGATGTTTCCCCTGGTCTTCATGTCCTCTCCAATGGAAAGCTCAATTGTGGCTGGCCCAAGGTTGGTTTCGTTTTTTCCTCTTCCACTTTTGGGATTGTGGGTCCCCTTTTCTCCATTTAAATCCAAGGGGTTTGATTGTTGAATCCAATTGCAGTCTCAGAAGCTGAGAAGGGGTTTCAAAGAACAGCTATTGAAGTATGGTGACGGGGAAGTTCATCTGAAAGAGATAGCAAAAAAGTTAATGACTGACACAGTTAAAGCTGACAAGAAGAAGCTGCCTGGCATTTGTGCAGTGGAATGGGAGCTGGCTTTAAGCTCCATTTTTGTGGAAGTAGACACCCCACTGGGATGGTGTGGCACCAGGAGCACTATTGCTTTGACTGTGGGGAGAAATGGGGAGGTTTGCTTTGATGAGACCTACCTGGAAGATGGAACATGGAAGGAGAAAACTACTAATTACCAGATCAAGAACCTCAGACAGCTGAACAAATTACTTTGCTAATTCCTACTACTAACTCAATAAGATACGGTAAAGAAGCATGTCAGCATACGTTCCAGTCAATCTGTAAATGTTGACTGATCATAAACATGTATGAGACCGACAATCCAAGGACCGTGACCGATCTACTAGCAAATTTCATCTGAATGATATGAAGAGAAACAGCTTTATCAGCACGCTATGTAATGTGATGGCCAAAACGCTATTGCCATATAAGAGTTCACACAGACAGTTCTTACTCTGCATACTCGCAAATGCATTCCCATCACTCCAAAATATATTTCGATTCCCCTGCACCTCTGCAGCATCAAAACAAAAACACGAAGTAAATCATCCAGCAAAGGCTTTTCTGCAAACATTAAAGCTCCATAACACGAAGCGAAAAGGAAATATTACATACATTAATGAATGAACGAGTTCCAGGCTGCTAGTCTTGCAGTTCACATTTCTTGCCAAGTTCTGAACTCCATCAACCATTCCAGCGGTCCAAAGCAAGCAGCTGCACTCAACTTGTTGCACGATGGATTCAATTGTAGAGGTAATTCATTTGTGAAAGGCCAGGCGAAGTTCCAGTCATGGTTCCTGCATCTTGTTTCTCAAAACCTTCTGCAGTGAAAATCAATGCCAAACTATTCTCCCAGCCTTCTGTTGCTTAACAGGTTCATTTCCAATGAAAGCAACGTATACATTAGCAAGTACCAATCCAACTCAATCATAAGAACAACCACACACACCCATAAGAAAAGAACTTCGGCTTCAGTTTAACATGGCGCCAAAGTTCCAATCTTTCGAGCGTTACAGTTCATACATTTCACACCAACAACAACCCTATTCCAACAAAAAGACAAAATGTCTTCGCAAAGAGTTGCAGAAGCCAGGGGGAAGAGCATCAGTAAAGTGAACTTGTCAACAGTACTTACCTGAATGTTCAGAGATCAAGTGTAAACCATCACTTGCCACTCCCCCAACCTCGCACAATAAATTTTCATTTAAACCCTAGAAACCCAAATCACAGCTCGCAAAACAAACCCTAACCCGGAAGAAAATCAGCACGATTCCAAATCCAGCAGAGAGAACGAAAAACACAGAAGCAGATTCAGTCAAAAACTAAGTAATAGAGAGCGCCTGGAAATGACGGATTGACTCGAAGTTCATCCCCGTGGCTTCCAGCGGAAACCAGCCGAGCAGGAAAGAAAACTCTTTGGAAAAGCACGACACCGTCATATCTGGTTTATAGCCGCGAGAAAGGAAACGGAAAACCTGAAAGGCTGTCATAGGCTTTTGGGCCGCGATTTTCCACGATAACTGGGCTTATACAAGAACTGGCCCGTAAGAATAAACCCCATCATTGGCCCATTATTGTCAGAGTGGGAAGGGGGATATATCTGAATGAAAGGCGGGCTAGGTTGTCAACCCGCTGGTCAGTCGGCCCGCCGGTTGACTTGTTTTGACCTTGACTATGTGAAAAAATTGGGTCACACCCACCCGCGGTTCGATTCTTAGAATGGTTATTGGATTGGAGGTTATATGGTGTTTTTTTCTCTTTAGTTTGCGAAAAGTGTATTTTATTCAATTTTTCTCTTCGCCTAACCTAGTTTTGAAATTTTAAAATGAACATTTGAATATTGAGGTTATATAAGTGTGTAAATGTTTAGTGTTTACTATATGTTGAATCCAAGTGCGGTCTGTTATTTTGGTATAATGTTACATGTGATTTTATATAATTTATAAATATATGAATAATTTAACAACTTTTCATATAAATGAGTTAAAGTGATCGTATCATTGACTTTTAACTCACTTACTCGATCAGATCGACGGGCTAAACCGGATTCACAAGAGTCAGACAGTGGCAGATCTTTTATCACCCAAATGAACAAACAAATAGGGCTGCAAATGAGCCGAGCCGAGTCAATTTTTACCCCAGCTTGAGCTCGGCTTGTTTATAAACGAGTCGAGTTCGAGCTCAGCTCGTTTATTAACGATTCGAGTCGAGTCGAGCTCGAGCTAGCTTGTTTACTAAAATCTTGACTTTTATTTGGTACTTCATTTTGTATATCATAGTACATATGTATTATTTTGTTAGCTAATCTCATATTATACTTTGTTGGTATATTATATATATATCATTTAGTTAATAATTTTTTACTACTCCATATCATGTTATTTCATAGTATTGTAGCAATCTATGATACATAATTTTTTTTAAGTAAAAAATAAGATATATTTGCTCACATACTCAACGTGTTAAACTTTATATATGGTGAGATCAAGGTTATCAACCCGCGGGTTGACCCACTTTGACCTTGACCCGGTGAGAAAAACGGGCCGCACGCACCCGCCGGGTCGACCGCTATAAGGTACCGGGTTGGAGGTCAAATTGTGCCATTTTTTTCTTTGTTTTGCGAAATGCGCCTATTTTCCGATTTTTCTTTTCGCCTAACTCAATCTTTGGAATCCTAAGTTGAACATTTGAATATTAATGTTATATAAGTGTGTGTGAATTTTCACTATATGTTGAATCTAAGTACGAAATATTATTTTGGTGTAATATTATATGTCATAACTCATATGTTAGATGAGATTTGATATAATTTATCAGGATAAGTACAATATAACGACGCTTTCCATATTTCCGGGCTAAAACGGGTGGCCCATTAACCCTTGACCCACTAGCTCAACCGGGTCCGGGTCAACCCGCGGGTTGACAACCTTGGGTGAGATATATAATTTAACAACCATATGAATTAAAATCAAAATATATAGATTGATTTGTCCATAAGTCGGTAATCGAGTTGGCTCTCTAGCCACATGTTGAGACATTTCATGAGCTCTAAACGAGCCAGCTCACGAGTTTAGCTCAACAAGCCACCGAGTCGAGCTAGCTCGCGAGCTTCACGAGTTGAACAAAGCTTAGCTTATGTTCGACTAGTTTATTAACGAGCCGAGTTTAGAACGAGCTTTTCTCAAGTCGAACGCCGAGCCGCTCGGCTCATTTACAGCCCTACAAACAAATGACCGGTTGTGAGGTGAGGGTACATTGTGATGATTGATGCTTTTTTTTCGTGTTGGATTTGCCTTTATGGAAAGTATTTATCAATAGTGGGAGTTGATAAGATAATCAAATTACGACTTAACAAAAAGGAATAGTGGTCCGTGTAAGGCTTCAATTGGTAAGAGACAGCCATCCACCCATTACATCTAACACGTAACCGTGATCAAAAGATGGTGATTTGATTACCACTAATTTAATTCAATGTAATCAAAACATAATAATTTAGAGTTTTCAAATGTATCTATCTATCTATCTATACATAATATTATGACAATTCAAAAGTAATTGTTTGCCACCTAAGCACTTGGAGAGTTCACAAATTGCCAAGGTGGACAATATTTTTACAAAAAGAAAAATAGTTATTAATACATTTACGGAGCTATCTCTCTCTTCAATTAATATTTTATTTCCCTTTTATCTTTTTTTTTTATTATATCAATGTACACAATAATAATAATGTATGAAAAGTGACATATATTACCTTTGTTATCTCTAACTTTTTTTATTTTTTTTATTTTCCAATGCTTCCTTTATGTTTTTGTTTCTATTTTTGCATTGTATCGATGTACACAACAATAGACTAATGTCTTTGAGTCACACATATAACTTTTTTCTCAACCAAAAAAATATCTTATTAAAGCTCACTAAGTAAATTTTTAACTCACTTTTACAATAATTTACAAATATGTCACATTTTGATGAACAATTTATACAAACACACATACATAATAACATTTTATCGCGACAAAATAACAATGGAAATTAAAGAGAGAACAAAAAAAGGTTTGAATAGAAACTTGACCAAGCAATAAAATCTATTTCTTAAACAAAAACCTTATTCATTCTAATTAAGTGAAAACATATGAATCATAGGTGCAATAATTTACAATGTATCCTAAGTTCAAATTACTAATATTTTGCATTTTTGCTCTAGATCGTGTTAATTGAGCAAACTCTACTGAAGTTTTATGTCATATGTTAATAAATTTAATTTTCAGACTTGGAGTAATAAATTTTCAAGGATTATAAATCAAAATTTTCAAAATGACTTCGGTATGATTGTTGATGAACTTGACTTCATATCTTAAGATGAGACATGAGATACGTTAAAAATGATACATGTGAAAGTTAGATGAATCTTTGCTAAACTGTATGTTAAACATCATGTGTTCATCAACCACTGACCTATGCATTAATCAAATAAAGGTTTAAAATCTATCTATCTATGGCAATTCAACAATAGTTTGTTGCCACATAAGCACTTGAAGATTTTACAAATTATCATGCTAAGTAGGTGTTAGGCCATTACCTTTTGATTTGTCGTTAGGAGAAGAAATTTTGAGTGAAGGAAAGCAAACCAAATAACGGGTGTTAAATGCAATAGAGAGTGGAAATACCCGGGTAGACGAAACTAACAATGTCCACAATTTGGTGGCGCCTGTGAGAAATGGTGCAGGAGGACAATTTAAAATTCAGCTGGCGATGTTACTATATGGGCCGTGAATTGGTGGACAAAGGTGAGGATTGGACAGAGCAGATCTGGTATAGATCTTCAGTAGTGGGCGTGACAAAATGTGGGAGGAGACAACTTAGCAATTGATACATATTGAGTAAATAACATTTAAATAGCTAAACCTTTTAGTTTTTTTAAATTATTAGCCAAACCTTTCAAACTATAAATGATTAGCCAAATATTTTGTATCACGTCAAAATATTAACCATTTGTTTGTTATCATTAATAATTTTGTAACTCTTTTTTAATTAAAATACTAAATTGGATTATAGACCGTCACGTGTCTCTTCCAACTCATCATCATGTTGTTGAGTCAACATTACTAATAAAAATGCTATCGGGGAGTTAACGTTTGGCTAATACTTTGTATTTTGAAATTTTTTTTTGAAATATTTGATTAATAAAATGTATTTACTCTGCTATATAATATACTAA